CAGCCGCAAGTTTCTCTTTGACAAGAAGAAACGACAAACTAGAAATTCGATCGCTGCGAGCGCGAGAGCATCAGCTAGTGTCTACACGGAAGGAGGCCCAGCTCAGTGTGACTTTTCTCGACTAGGTCCCCCAGTACTACCAACTTTTACCAACTTTTTTTGGGGAGGGTTCCCCTACTACAATAGGCAACAGAAAAAGGGTACCCTTATTCTAACCTCTCTACTGGAGGACCTAGTCGATGTCAAATGCTCAGAATTTGTTAATGTTGAAACGCATGTGGAAACATGAACTGTGTTTGAAATGCTTGACCATAATGGCCCCGGCCATTTTGGCTCAAGCTTTGTTCTTGGGTTCTCTGAACCCAACTTGTGTGGAAAAATTGAAAGGTAGCACTTCCGAACTAACCCCGAACCAGCAATGGCCTCCTCGGCAACTTCGGCAACTTCCTTCGAGTTGATTGAGGACCAGGCACTCACCGCGGAGGAGGTGGAAATGGCCAGCCAGGAGGCCCAGGAAGTCCGCACACGCGAGGCGGCTGTGGCGGCCGGCCTGGTGTTGGATGAGCCCGAGGCGCCCCCGTCGGCATCGGCCACCGATGTGATGAACGACCTCTCCAGTGCACTGGAGCGGCTCCGTGTGGCCTTCTCCACACCGACTCCCGGCCTGGGTGCCCCTGGCCCCGCCGAGGACGAGGACAAGGAGATGGGCGATGCGGTCACCACGGAGCGGGCTACTCCACCAACGAAGAGGCTGAAGGGCTTCGTGGCGGCCTCCCAGAAGACCACGGCCCCGGTGAACAAACCGGTCTCCCTGGTGCCGGTGGATGGCCGTCCTGGCTATTTCAAGCTAGTTGACCTCCCAGACCTCTTCCCGGTCCTTCCGGCATCGGCGGCCACGTTGCTGAGGGACGTCACGGTGGAGGAGGCGGTCTCCCTGTTCCACAAGTTTGTCGGGAAGAATCTCACGGAGGACTTGGTGGTTCGCATCCTGGAGGCTTATGTTCCGATGAAGATCCAGATCCGGCAAGAGGAGGTCTGGGCCTCACAGTTCCAGCGGAATAAGGCATGCATTGGCACCCAGCGGATGCACAGACTCGATGCCGGCCACTCGGACTACAAATTCATGTGTAAGGCATGCGGCACGGGGTGGCCGGAGGCAGCCAATCAATGCTGGGTCTGCCCGGGCAAGGAGTTTGTCCCCTTCCAGGCACCCTCGGCTACCTACGAGGCGGACGGCGTCACGTACAACCTGCTCATTGTGGAGGGCAAGCCGACCTGGATCCAGCAGCGGGATGGGGGAAGCCTGGGTGCCGCTGGCCCCGGTGGTACCCGGGCACAGGCAGACCGCAACCTGGTGGACGGCACGATCCTGGGGAGAGCTCCTCCGAAAACGGACACGGCCGAGGAGATCACTATGGCTGACGTGGTCCCGCTTAACAGGCGGGTGGACATTCGGCAGGAGATCCTGTCCATAAAGAGCTGCCTGAGGCCTTGAGGGAGCACCGGGAACCGACCCCCGGAGGAGTCCTCGGCCAGGCGGCGGCACAAGGAGTTGGTCACGGATGAGATGTTGGACAATGAGATGGCAATCCTGGCGCCTCTCCAGGAGGGCATGCAGGCCCTGCCGGCAGAGGAGGTGGCCAACGAGGGAGCCCGGCCCTCAGGAAGGTCAACCTGGAGCGATTCAAGGCCAAGCTGCGAGACCAGTACCTGGAGGGAAAGGGTGTCGACGCCAGCCAGGCACTGGCTGATGCGATGGGCTCCATTCAGGAGGCGCAGGAGGCGAACAAGCGCACCCAGGACACCAACCAGGCACGGATGCTTAACCACACCCTCCAGCCCCTGGAGGTGTCGGCATGGCCAGATGATCTCAGGCAGGCCCTGGAGAGGGGGCTGTTCTGCCCCCTGGAGCTGGATGACCCTGAAGACATCCCCAACGTGGGGGACATCAAGGAGAAGTACGTCCCATACATCCGGAGGCTCAGAGAGGCGCAGAACCCGTGGAACCAGGAGGCGTTGCTGGAGGAGATGCCCGATCTGGCGACACCGGCCCCCCCCAAGGGTGCCACTGGCCCCGGGGGGGACCAGTCAGGGCCACCGCAGGACCTGGACTCGGAGGAGGGTAAGCTGTCCCTGCTCCTCTGGGCGATGAAGAGGCACCAAGGGGAGCTACGGATGTTTGGGGGGATCTGGAAGAAGCACTCCAGCGGTGAGATCCCCAAGGGCGCGGACCAGCAATTCAAGCTCTCGCCGGAGGAGCTCGTGGCCCTGGAGCGCAGGACCCACCCACTCACGTGTGAGCGGGACCACATCGACCCGATCATCTACTCGGCCCTGGAGATCCGAGCGCAGGTTAACCGGGGTGAGCGCCCGGCGCCGGAGCAGGTGGTGGGGATCTTCTGGGCTAAGGGCGATGGCGTGTTTTGGACAAGGCAGACTCGCACGTGGGACCTGCCGAGCTTGACAGGGGTGTACGCCCATCGCTTCACCTTCAAGTACA